AAGGGGATAGGATAAACATTAAGGAAAGCAGTCAACTGTGTCACAAGGCAAGCCTTCACATGTAATCTCGTAGGCCAAAGGAGAAGAGGAAACCTAAAGAACACATTCCGCCGAAAAATGGAGGCAGACATGAGAAGAATGAACAACAACTGGATAGAACTAGAAAGAAAGGCCGAGGACAGTGTTGGTTGGAGAATGCTAGTCGGCGGCTTATGCTCCATTGGGAGTAACAGGCGTAAGTTGTAGAACAACGGAAAAGAGGAAGGCCAAAGAACACATTACACCGTGAGTCGGAAGTAGACATGAAAAAAACAAATAGCAACTGGAAAGGACTAGAAAGGATTGTCTAAGATAGAATTGGATGGAGAATGTAAGCGGATGGGCTATGCTCTTCCACGATGAGCAACAGGTTTAAGTAAGTAGGTAAACATAATGTGAGAAGTCAAAGATGAATAACCGCTTAAATACCTTTTACAACATTAGAGTTATACAACAGCTCATGGCTCTATCATTATAATGACTGGCTATTATTACATAAGCTTCTTTAATCATAATTGTTTTAATTATTCTAAGAACTACTGATGGGAAATGGTCAAACTAACAAACCTGTTTTATATCCGTTGATGTAGAATTAGATTTGAAGATGATGTAGGCAACTGGACCACCATGTAAGTCATTGACATTTTAATTTCATTTATCAAGTTGGGTTTCATTTTTTGACTCATAAAATCATCAGTTTGGATAGGTTTGTGGTAATATGAATAACAAAATATAAAGGCATTTACCACCCTATTATTCCATATAATTTATTACCTTGACAAGTTTGAATGCAATCTAATCAGAATGATAATATAAACTTGTGAGGACGGCCCACGGGTGATCTCGATGAAGCTCTAAGAAGGTCAGAAAAAGTCGAAGAAATTCCATCGAATTATCTTTTGGAAGAATATTCTAAAATCTCCACGTGTGGTTTCCCTGTTGGACAAATGCTAAAAACTCCTATATGTGGGTTGGGTGACTATAATGTTGATTTCGTTTTTACTAAAAGCTATAAATACCGGAAAATTTTGTACCATATTTGACGCCGTTTTGGAACAGCATTCCTTTCACCTGTTTTCTGTCTTCTCATTTACAACTTGGAGGGTTCTAACGTTTAAGTGCTCGCGGCATATTAAGAATCTAAGCTCTAGATATAACAAATGACGACGGGAGTGGGATTCGAACCCACGCCGTGAGAATTTGATATGTCTTGTAGGTTGAACGCTATATTCAGATCCTAAGCTATTCTGATAACCCCAGGCTAGCACTACTCAGCGACTTGAAGACCAGGGAGAAGACACAAGTAACGAAAAAGATGCTTTATTGCAAGGTTCATCTTTGTACAGAAAATCGTAGGTATTTATAGATGTTTGCTTAAGTTAAATCAACATCCTAATTCAGCCAATCCACTTAACGACATAAATTGCTACTGACCAATGATAGCGTGCCACGTTGGAACTCCAGAATGTTCTGTAGTGCTCTGATTGGTTGGAGCTCTTTTTGAGCCTCTGTTGGAGTTCTCTGGAGGCCGACCTAACAGAATTGCAGTTGTTCCTCATTTTGGGCATGTGATAAGCGATTTCGACATAACCATTAGAGACGACCAGATATAATAATTGGTGACGCAGACATGACAGTCGACCACCAGTCATAACAAAACTACTATCTATTCAGCTGTTTATAACATTCATCTAGTTAACTAAACTTATTGAACATAATGGCATGCCATTGTCTAGTAGAAATTGTGAATATTTAAAATAGATTTCAAGTTAGTTGTCCACAGATAGGATTGAGTCTGAATCCTCTAATAATAATGAGTTTAAAGCTTCATTATAATCATCTAACACTAAAATATAGAATGTATGTTGTAGAGTCATTAAGACCAATGGTCATACTGGAACTTCCCCGATAATATTCGATAAATACGAAAGACTTAACGAAAATATTAAATAGCTCATCCAACAAATACATGAAGTGAGCTATCATGGTTGTTATCTATAAACATAATTAAACTAACAATCAGTCAGTCTGTCACAACGTAGAACTTCGTACGTACGTACATCAGTTCGAGTTGCCATACCACATTAGCACAGAGATGCAGTTGTCGATTCAAATCCCATAGTGGTAGAAGTAGTAAGAGTTTAAGCATTAATGTGAAAGATTGGGGTTTGAAGATGTTATTGAAGGAGTATAATACAGTGAAATAAATTTAAAAAGAGAAGACGGATAGGGACATGAGGAATTCAGATCTCGGAAAATTTAAAATACGGATCTTTCGAAAAACGGGAGGTCTGATATCCCGAAGAGAATAATGAATTTCGAGAACTACTTATTTCCTATTATATAACGTAACTATTCATATTCATATCTATTTTACTATGAGCTTTATTTTGACCTATGAACTATTATTATACAATTTACCATTCTTGAGTTATGCCCTGTCTATTGACTACTATCTCCCTTATTCACAGCCACATTTGGCCGAATCTTGTACTAATGTTGTTTCCTATTTTGTGGTACGATGTGGTCTGTTCGGTTGGTATATAAACCCAGTATGTTTGAGAATAATGATTTATATTGCAGAGGCTGTTATTTGTGTTTTGGACTTAACTGGTTGGGCTAGGCAGAAGGCAGGACCGATAGGGAATCTAGACTACTCATACGGGTTTCGTGTGTCATTGGTCTGATTGATAAATCACTGCTCTCTAATTGGAGGTATTATCACGTTATACATTAACAGAGTAACCAGGCCACAAGATATAACAGCAATAATCACTTCCTTTGATACCATACGTTCATTAAAAGATGGAATTCTCAGAAATTCCCATACCTACATAACCACAGTTTGTAGTTCTCGAAAAGAACCATCAATTAATATTTCTGTCGAGCTATTTAAGGTCAAAGAATATAAGAGCAAACGATTGTTTTTGACAAGTTCATAACTGGTTCCTGAATTTTTAGATTGTTAATTTATTTCATAATGAAGTTATAGCAAAACAACCATGGAAATAAATCTGGGTAGTGGTTAATAGTGAAGTCAACAGTGCCTGTTACACCCTCTTCTGGACTCATTAATTGAATGTACTTGTATCTTAATATTTGAAACTCGAACCTAGAGACCTATTGCTTCAAACGTCAACACATCGTCCATCCAAATGAAGTTATACACTTTGTAGCATCTAGGCTGTAAAACTCTGAAGTTTGGATATTTTTGAACTTCAAGCAAAAAGTTTGACCAACACACCAAATTAACACTTACAAGTGATTGACTTAATGGTTTACTGTTACTTCGAGAAGTGAATCCCGGATAAATTGCTTAGGAATACTTGAACTATTTATTAGTAGTATGAATTGCGATTTGGAATTTAGTACTACCGGTGATAAGTTGGGTGGTAAAACAAGTCGTAAAGTAAAAGTTTGAGTCAATTTTTTTCCAGTCAAAATTCAGGTATAAATTTCTTTCATGTAGGTCACGTGAAGCGAGTGGTGTTTATAAAAACAATCCGACAAACTGATATGGGTTGATATTTAGTAAAATTGTGATTTGTTCAGGGGGATGATTGCGGTGTTCCACCCTCTGAGCTGGATGATTCAATCGTAACGCTTCCATCATTCATGTAGATGTCAACATCATGACAAACTTGGGACTGTATTGAGCTAGGATACATTGAATATGTGAATAGTGACAAACTCGACCAGAGATTTGTGAGAGGCTTACCAGTCAAGTCAATCAGCAATCGATAGACATCCGAATTACACTTAAATTACCAACCAATTAGAAAAACTATGAAGAAACGCCAAGAACCAGATTAATGTGGGAGGTAACCAAGGTCGACATCAGCCAATCAAATTCAATGTTCATAAAATAAGCTGTTAGTCAGTTGTGGAGGAATTATGATAGCTCTCACTTCTACCTGCAGATTCTTTTGATGACTAGAAAGACAATGGAGGTTTTATGAATGAACCAACTGACTTAAATGACACAATTTCACTTATATTTAATGAAAATCGTACAGCGCCACAAACTTTATGCTAAAATAAAAAGCCGTAAAAAGGTGTAACCAAGACACTGTACGAGTCCATTTGGTAACTGACTGCTGGTTTGAGCCATGTTAGTAAATAAAGACTATCTGCTTGAGGTCTGAGTAAATACAGCGGTTAACAGTATTAATCTGAATGAGGTTATATTTTACATTTTTCATATAAGTGAGAGGAACTCCCTTCATTGAAAGAAGCTCATCTTGACTATATTACTAAGTGAACTGTATCTCATACTAAACACCATTTTTGTTTACTTACTTCATTGACTGTACTTTCACATTCCCATCTATTAGTTCTTCACAATATTATCTCTCTATTTGTATGATGTATACTTTTTTATGGCATGCCCCCAAATGTCCCGGTACGGCTGAGAGTGGGGAGAGTCCACTCTCCCTCTCGAAATGCTCTCACATGGCCACGCGTATATAGCCTCTACCAGGGAAGTCCTACTCACTGCCTTCTCGTGGCACCGGTGTTGTTCACAAAATGGAGAGGATGAAGAGCGAATGACCGGCACTTTAACCAGGTTGGTGGACACGGCGAATCCACCTAGGGAAGTTGGAAAACCCTGATTCCAAATCAATGGTGCATATGGACTCCAGTATCCCAAGAGAATAAATGGTGCATGAATCAATCGTTGGTCACCGGCTACCATGGGACTGCATCTCCTTACGATGCTCCACTGCCTTGTGGATTAGACCTTTAGGTCAAAGGCTTCGGGTGTGGTCTCTTAAGAAAACCACCTGTTTCGGTTTGGGCACCTGGGCAGTATCGCAGCCCTCACATAAATCAAATGAGATTTGTGTGGTGCATATATATCTGATGCCCCCTTTGTACCAATATTTATGTGTTTAAATAAATAAAATCTTTATGGCACCGGAAATTCATATGTAGTAAATAAAGAACATTATTGATATATTCAAGTGAATCTTACCCCCAACTTTTTTATTGCTTCAAAAGTGAATGTCAACAACTTTATTATGATATCAAAAGTAGGATTAATTCATACATATAAGCACAAACCAATAAATTAAATCAAATCAAATATAATGAAGTATGAAAATAATCAACTCTTCTTTGAGCCGAACACATACACACACACACAGTAAAAGAAAACACAACAAAACAAAACAGAAACAAAAATCACTTCAAGTAAATGAAAATAGTTACTAAGAGAAAGAAAAATTGTCATGGGTGATGAAAACAGAAATGAGCAACATAAGTACCTAACTACTATCACATACACACACACACATACATACGTACAACTAGAACCGCAAGTATCATATACACTGTGCAGACCAATGTTCATCCTGTTGTGCTAACGAGGTATGGCAACTTGGACCGATGCATAAATGTGCCTGGTTCTACGTTGTAGCTGACTGACATTGTGCAGATCACTTTTTGTCTCATAGCCGAATACAATGTAAGAATAAAGCAAAATCATCCAAATGAATCACATATGAAACGAAGATAATAATAACTGAAACTACTACTGAAATTATTATTGCTTGGGAAGATATAATAACATGAAAGACTAATTTTGCCACAGCTTAAATCCAACCAAAATACAACAAATGAACAAGTTATAAAATTAGGCAACAAAAAAAAGAAAACAATATCCACAAACAATGTAAACAGCATGATATTATGATTGTCATTGTCACAGGGATAGATGGATAGATAGATCAGTAGGTAGGTAGGTGGGTAGGTGGAGTAGATTAGTTTAGTATTATTTACTCAGTGACAAAATGAAATTGACGAAATGAAAGATAATCCTTTAAAATATTTGGTAAGTAAAGTTCTTTAACTGGTGATAATTTAGCAGAGCGTAATAAAGAAAAAATAGCCAATCTTGAAAGGGATTGTAACGATGGAACTTGATCTGTAGAGAGGATAGAGAAAAAAACGACAATTTACATAATAATTTAGTAGAAAAATAACTACCCGAGTAACTATGTGAATAGATCACAACAAGAAGTTGGGCAAATTAAGTACAGAATGCCTTAGAACAAACTCCGCCTGTAGCTCTTTTAGAGTTACTGCCGGTCCCAAGCCTGGGTTAAGGAGGAGGGTTGGTCATGGGGTTAGCGACCCCATCCCGTAGAAAAGCTAACTCGCTAAAAAAACGCTAACCAGAAAAAATAATTCAAACCATTTAAAATCTACCCTGGGAGTTGAAGGAATAATTATGACGCCTCATGATGAAAGCCGAAATTTTTTCGGAAGTCACGAGGTCGATGCACCTTCTAACAACCAGAACCACTCTTTATAGGTACATGGAACGTCCGGACAATGTGGGAGACAGGGAAGACCAGTCAAATAGCAATGGAAATGAGGAGACGCGTTGTAGATCCGACCTTTTACAGTCTGACTAATATCATGAAGCCGCCACAGGTGGTCCACATTGGCGCAAGTCGGGTTGGCTTTTATTATACGTGAATCAATCTCATCGCTCACGCCACCACCAACACTTACACAGCTACCCAGATGTACAAACTTCTCGCTCAATTCTATCTGCGTACTACCACGAGTGAGTGGAGGTCCAAGGTCCTGCCAGTTTTGTAAAGTACTTTGCACTTCTCGCTCAATTCTATCTGCGTACTACCACGAGTGAATGGAGGTCCAAGGTCCTGCCAGTTTTGTAAAGTACTCTGCACTTAGAAAGTGCAAAGCACATACCATACCTACTGTTATAATCGTATTTTGCTATATATAAACGACCCAGCTATTCCTATTGCTTAGTATTCTTGTACGATGACACTCAACAAGACCCCCATAATCAGAACACGTTGAACAGGAATGAAATTGTATTCAAAATAACAATGGTATGTGAACAGCAATCAATAGTTTAAATAACGTTCATATATTTATAGTATATGCATAAGAAGCTTATAGATTTTTCTCCAATAATATGCCCGGGCTGATCGGTTTAAAATTAACCAATCAGCGCGCAGCAAGACCATCATGCATAAAACTTGCTTAATCCAATCTATATCCCACTAACACCTTTCCCTTGAGCAGATTCGTAGGATCTGGTGTTAGGGTCCAACTGCAACCGCTTTACTGGTTTGCGCTTCCGGTTAGTCCACCTTCTAGGTAATAAGAACGTTGTATCATCCTTCGTTTGCACCTTGACTGTCCTGTCTGCTTCAAGTGTTTTGATCTCAAAGGTGTTTAGCAGAACATCAAGAGGTAATCTATGCTGCGTTTCGTTGTTGGAGATCGAGGTTGATTTCAGTTGGTTAGCATGACGCACCCAGATTTCTGAACCAACGGACACCTCGTAAACCACATTTCCTTTCTTTTGCACGATCCGTCCAGCTATCCATACGTTCTATACCCCACTAACACCTACCAACACTGATTGACAGCTGATTGGGTGCGGATTGCATGGCTTTTGTATCATCGCACAGTAAGACAATATCATTCGCATACTCAGGGTCGAAAAGTCATTCTCCACGCAACAAGTCGTGAAGATTAAATATGATCATTTAAAAACATTTCGCTTTCCTTCTCTGTAGAAAAATCTCGACCTGAAGATAAATAACTGAGAATGGGGTTATGAAGGTGATGATCTATGGTTAATTAAAAAGCCTCGTTACCAATAACACAGTTTCTGTGAATACAAGATGACACAACCAACTGAAAATTGTAAATATCCCAGGAACGGACATTATATTCAATAAGCGCTAACAATGCGGTGACGTAAACGTCGAAAGTAATATTACTCATTGTAAATCGCCAACTAACTCACTTTGTACAGATTTTAATAACTGGTAAACTGGACTCGTATTTGGCACATAATCAATTGGAATACGGTTCTCTTTATCTACAGAAATCGGAGATGCACCGAATTCTAGCAGTAAATATGTTATGTCAACATCATTTAATTTCGCTGCCATGTGTAAAGGAGTTGTCAATCGTACTCCACAATTCGGGTCTGCACCTATTAAATAAGTAGGAATCGCAACAGAGATTAAACAATTATAAACAACGAACTTGAAGTACAAAGGTAGTTAATATCATATATACATATGAGTTCGAATCCCACATCTACCGCACCTTTGCCCCCGAATGCCCTGGTACGACCGAGATTGGGGAGAGTCATCTCCCCATCTCGAAATACTCTCACATGGCCGTAACCACTAACAGAGCAGTCCTATTCAATGCCTTCTCGAGACACTACTGTTGTTTACGAAATTGAGAGAACGAAAACCGAATGCCCGGAGCTTTAACCGGGTTGGTGGATACAGAGAATCCACCTAAAGGAGATAGAAAATCATGATTCCAAACCAATCGTGCACATGAGCTCCAAGATCCTAAGAAAACAGATGGAGTATGAACCTATTGTTGGTCACCAGCTATCACGGGACTGTATCGCCTTACGTTGCTACACTGCCTTGTGCATTAGACCTTTAAGTCAAAGACTCGGAGTGTGTCCTCCTAAAAAGCCATCTGCTTCTGAGCATCCGGGCGGTATCCAGCCCTCACACTAATCGAATGATGTATGTGGTGCATATCGATTTGGTTCATCCTTGTGCCAATGTTTATGTTTAAATAATAAAATTAAACCGTCTACCTCGGAGAACTCACCAACACTAGAAGGATTTACTTTAGCTGTAAACCTTTACCACATAATAAAACAATGTCAAAGTATGTATACTAAACATACCTTTAGAAAGCAGAAGGTAAACACCAGCATAAAATCTCCTTTGGATAGCTATATGTAGCGGACAAAGACCATTGCGTTCAGGAGAATTTAAGCTTGCACCAGCGTCTATCAAAACCTTCATTGCATTTATAGATTCTATGAATACATACGTAGTGATGACAAAACTATAAGCTCACCATTCTGTGTAGCATAGATTAACGGAGAACCCCAATATGATGGTGGATTAACATCAACCTTACTTCTTAATAAAAGGGAAATTATCTCAGCTGATCCGCTTAGTGCTGCATCGCAAATTGGAGTCTGTCCATCAATATTTGAGGCATTCGCATGAACACCGCTATCTAATAAAAGACGCACAGCTTTAACATTTCCTAATAAACAGGCATGATGAAGCAACGTATTGTTGTCTGCATCACGAGAATGTATATTGAATGTTTGCAAAAGGTTTTGGAGGTCATCATTGTCACCTGACTTCAGGATTCTGATTGCATCAATCATTTGCTTAATTTCAATCCTACATAAGACATTAAATGTAAATAGATTAAGTATGAGAGCTGTGTGAAAACAGGTTTCATGAGTACTTCAGGACAAGAGTATACAATATAAACTGATTTTCAGTTAATAGATTAGTCAGCTTTGAATGATCAGTAAGAGGAAGTATGACTTAAGGTTAGTAAGATCGTAGTACTTTGCAATCATCCCAAGATGAGTGAATACGGTTCAAACCAAAAGCAGTTGGAAAAGATTGGCATCACTACAAATAAAGGAACCTGCATCCCAGTTAGTTGACTAAATTTGCAAAGAATTATCATGGAGCTCCGAAATGACGATAATGTAGGGCAGGTTGTTAACGTAGACTAGTATAAATCCATTTTCTTCGCAAGAACAGACATAAAGCACACGATCGTGTTTTTTATGTCATCTGAAGAGGAAATGTTGGACGTTTGTCTGGAGCAGAAACATATAAGGGATAGATTTGTAAGCAAACAACATTAATTTGATCAGTTGTTCGTATTACAGATGGCCATGTTGACGCGTTTAATGGATGATTCTAAAAAGTCAATGTGATATATTTTATCGTACATCATGATACCTGAAATTGCCCGGAGAAGAAATAACCCGTGGAATGTTTTTTCATGTTCAACTCCGTTTTCAATAGTTTTTTAAACATGTGCTTACTTTTTTATTTGAGAAAGCTTGTTTGATTTTAAATGCATTTGCAATTAAGCACATGTACCTTATTAATAAAACATTACCTGTTCTTTCTTTTGTAGCTATTTTCAAATGACACTCAGTCAGTCAGTCAGTCACAACGTAGAACTTCGTACGTACGTACATCAGTTCGAGTTGCCATACCACATTAGCACACAGATGCAGTTGTCGATTCAAATCCCATAGTGGAAGAATTAGTAAGAGTATAAGCAGTAATCGGAAAGATTAGAGTTTGAAGATGTTATTGAAGGAGTATAGTACAGTGAAATATATTTTGAAGGAGAAAAACATAAAGACATGAGAAATTCAGAAGATTAGAATTTGGTAGAACACAAAGAGTGGATGCATCTTCGCCATTGCAAACGATTTTGAGCCATGTCATTCAAGGTCTCTAACCATCGGTTGCTATCATCTCGCGAATCCCAACCAGGTAGTCTACACTTACCAACATGGCCCAGTCCACTTGTCAGTGACTTCATTGATTTGTGCCACGTTTTGGTCTGGCCACCCCTAGCTTTCTTCCAACCTACTCCTACACCATGAAACATTGCACGTCGGGGCAGTCGGTGGTCGGGCATACGTAACACATGTCCCAGCCATCTCAACTGATGAAGTTTCACTAATTCATCAATCGATTTGCCATCCCTACCTAGTACTCGTTTCCTAACAACTGCATTACTTACCCGGTGGTCCCAGGATATACGAGCAATGCTTCGAAGACACCTATGATCGAACACTAGTAGCCTACGAATATCCTCTACTCTTACCGGCCATGTTTCACTACCATAAAGTAGGACGGAAAGAACTGCTGCACAGTAAACCCGTCCTTTGGTTGCTAGACGGATATCTCGCCTACGCCACAAATGATGCAAGTTGGCAAAAGCTAGACGAGCCTTCTGTATCCGTGCTGAGATTTCGTCAAACACCAGACCACAAGGGCTGATGAGACTCCCAAATGACACTGGCACCTGACAATTGCAATTAAAATATAAAGATTGATGCTCTAGCATCTGCCAACTGCTTATAACATTGTACAACAATACGCTTTTTGTTTTCAATAAATTTTTTTTGAACAAATACCATAATTTACGTACATTTCAGTCTTCATGTGGTGTGTTGTGGGAATGAAAACGAACACAAAAGATATTTGGGGTTATGCTAAAGGTGTTTTAAGAGTGTATGCAAAATAACATAATTCGGTGTGTATATAGGCGAACAATAGACAATTAGGCGTATACTTGGGCCCCAAATGCCCTGGTACGGCCGAGAGTGGGGAGAGTCTACTCTCCCTCTCGAAATGCTCTCACATAGCCAGCGAATATATAGCCTCTGACAGGGAAGTCCTACTCACTGCCTTCTCGTGGCGGAGGTGTTGTTCACAAAAGTGAGAGGACGAAAAGCGAATGTCCGGCGCTTTAACCGGGTTGGTGGACACGGAGGATCCAGCTAGGGGAGTTGGAAAACCCTGATTCCAAACCAATGGTGCACATGGGCTCCAGTATCCTGATGGAACGAATGGCGGACGAACCTGTCATTGGTCAACGGCTACCATGGGACTGCATCTCCTCACGATGCTCCACTGCCTTGTGGATCAGACCTTTAGGTCAAAGGCTCGGGGTGTGGCCCCCTAAGAAAACCACCTGCTTCGGTTTGGGCACCCGGGCAGTATCACAGCCCACACACACAAATAGTGTGGCGCATATGTACCTGGTGCCCTTTTTGTACCAATATATATGTGTTTAAATAAATAAATAAAATAAATGGGCGAAAAGTAGACAATCGAGAAACATAAAGGGGAAATCACCATTATTTCCCCCGGAGAGGCAAAAAAGGCAGACCTTTTGGCGCATTTCCCCATTACTTCTCGCTTATTTTCCAATGTATTTTCCCTTTTCTTAGCCAATATTCCCATTTTATTGGTTGTTTGGGGAAGTTGTGAGGCGTCAACAGAGTCCTTCAGAATTATTAGTGGCGACTATTTCAACCTACACTTTCTGCTCACTAAATTGACTTTGATAAATTTTGGATGTCCAAGCATATAAAACAAAAAACAAGGGGGAACTCTGTGGAAGCCAATGCTTCCGAGACCTGTGTGGGTAGAACGTATGTCTCCAAAAACACCTTAAATGTGTGTTACACGAATGCTCGTAGTCTTCGGAATAAGATGTCTGAACTAAGTTTGATGGTAGACGAATTAAATCCGGATATAATTGCTATCACCGAAACTTGGCTCACTGTAGATATAGACTGTTCTCCAGTCATTTCAGGCTACATCTGTATCAGAAGTGATAGAGTTAAAAGTCGCAAGGGAGGAGGCATAATATTATATGTTAGGGACCACTTCCGCATAAACTCGATCATATCGGAGGCGCATGTAAGTGGTACGTGTGAGGTAGTATGTTGTACAATTAGGTCTAGAAACGGGTTAGTGACGATAGGAGGAATATATCGTCGTCCGTGTTGTCTCGCTGACTTTATCCTAAGACACGTCTGTTCTTGGAGTAAGGCAGAATGTTGTCTCATCGTTGGAGACTTCAATGCACCCCATATAAACTGGATAGAGCTCACAGCTCCAGGTGCGGGTTTCGATAGCGTCCTTCTGTCATCAATTATTCAATGTGAACTTGTACAATGTATCGTTAAGCCGACGCATATAGACTTGGAACATAATCCGTCATTGATAGACCTTGTCCTCACACACCACTGTGAAGATATCGTCGACATTCAACATCTTCCCCCACTAGTGAATAGCGACCATGTCGTACTTTCCTTTAAGTTCCGGATACATGGTATAGAATTTGCATCTACTCCACCCCATCCTAATATCTGGAGAGCTAATATTTCGGCAATCAGGGACTATGCTATCTCGATTCACTGGTTGGTTTTATTTTATTTTATTTAAACACATAAATATTGGTACAAGGAAGCACCAGATAAATATGCGCCTCACAAATCTCATTCGATTTGTGTGAGGGCTGTGATACTGCCCAGGTGCCCAGACTGAAGCAGGTGGTTTTCTTAGGGGGCCACACCCGAAGCCTTTGACCTAAAGGTCTGATCCACAAGGCAGTGGAGCATCGTGAGGAGATGCAGTCCCATGGTAGCCGGTGACCAACAGTTGGTTCATACGCCATTCGTCCCTTCAGGATACTGGAGCCCATGTGCACCATTGGTTTGGAATCAGGGTTTTCCAACTCCCCTAGCTGGATCCTCCGTGTCCACCAACCCGGTTAAAGCGCCGGACATTCGCTTTTCGTCCTCTCACTTTTGTGAACAACACCTCCGCCACGAGAAGGCAGTGAGTAGGACTTCCCTGTCAGAGGCTATATATTCGCGTGGCCATATGAGAGCATTTCGAGAGGGAGAGCAGACTCTCCCCACTCTCGGCCGTATCAGGGCATTCGGGGGCGGTCGATGCTGATGATGCATGGAATAGGTTCAAGTCTACGTTCGAATCCGTAACTCAACCGTTTATCCCATGGTCAGCCCGTAAGCTATCATATTGCCCTCCATGGATTAATAAGGAAACCCGGAAGCTGTTGAAGCGTAGGAAACACTTCTGGGACTTATTCTTGTCAACAGGTCAGGCATCATTTAAGTGCGAATTTAAAAAATTCCGGAATATATGTAAAAAGACCATAGCTAAATCCCGCACGGCTTACGAACGACAGTTGGCATACGATAGCCGTACCTATCCGAAGCGACTGTTTTCGTACGTTAAAAGGCGGACGAAACGTAGTGATGGTATCCCCTCATTACTGTTAAACGAAAATTCAGCTCTATTGGCTGAATCTGATCTAGCGAAAGCGGAGACTTCTGCTAACTATTTCAGTGAAGTCTACTCTACGTGTAGTGTTACAACTACTTGTCCCGTTGACAATGAGTTACCAGCCATATGACCTTTACACGTGACAGAGGATATTGTTCTTCCTTTGATAACTAACCTAAAACCTTGTAAGATACCGGGCCCCGATGGGTTACACCCACGTTTGCTGTCGTCGCTTTCGGACATTATCTCAAGACCGCTCACGATGCTCTTCAACATGTCCCTTTCACAGGCTCAACTACCTAGAGACTGGAAAGACGCCATAGTTAGTCCTATATTTAAGGATGGTCAGAGACGGATCGTATCTAACTACCGGCCTGTTAGCCTCACCAGTATAGTAGTTAAGTTACTTGAAAAATTAATTCGGGCTAAGCCACTGAGTCACATAGATTCGTACAATCTGTTAACTCCCGAGCAACATGGGTTTCGTAACAAGCATTCATGCTTGACTAACTTACTCATTGCGAGAGAAGATTGGACAGCTGCCCTAGACAACGGCCAGTCTGTCGACGTGATATTCATAGATTTTAGCAAAGCGTTTGATAAGGTTTCACACTTAGGTCTAATGCAAAAGCTCTCGAACTTTGGAATAACAGGTGCTATACAGCAATGGATAGGAAGCTTCTTATGTGACCGCAGACAGAGAGTAAGGGTCAATGGAACGCTATCCGAATGGAAACCGGTCAAAAGTGGTGTACCCCAAGGCACCATCTTAGGCCCTTTACTTTTCCTTCTGTATATTAATGAACTACCTTTATTAATTAAGTCGTCGACGTTATTGTTTGCGGATGATGTTAAAATCTGGAGAACAATAAGAAATGAGACTGATCATTGTTATCTGCAGGCAGATTTAGACGAATTAGTTAGCTGGGCTCATGATTGGGGCCTGGAAGTTAATTCCAGGAAGAGCGTGTTCATGCACATCGGGCACGCTATTAGTTACCATTATACCATTAATGGTACATCTCTGCCACGCGTTCATGAGCACAAAGACTTAGGAGTAATTATAAATCACGACTTAAAAACTACTACGCACTGCAATGCGGTTGCTTCCAAAGGCTATCGTGCGCTATGGTCGTTTTGCAGAGCATTTAAATGCTTTGACGAGGATATGTTTCGAATTTTATATCCCACCTATGTAAGACCACATTTAGAATACTGTATCCAAGCAGCTAGACCATGTCTGATAAAGGATACTAAATCGCTTGAGCGTGTCCAGCGTGTAGGGACAAAATTAGTAAAGGATCTTTCTAAACTCCCTTACGATGAGCGTTTAAAACGTCTAAATCTTCTCCCCTTATCTTATCGTGCGACGCGAGGTGACCTTATACTGGCATTTCGTATCTTTAATTATGGTCTGGGTGTTAATATGTCTTATCTTTTTGCTCCCTCCAGCATTAATAATCTCCGGGATCATAGCAAGAAGGTTCTGAAACCGCGATCTAATAAACTAAAGGTGGGGTCCCGTTTTTCTCATCGAGTGGTCAATGACTGGAACGCTTTACCAGAACAAGTGGTATCAGCACCATCAGTGAACATTTTCAAAAAGAAGCTGGACCTTCACTGGAAGGAAATCTGTCAGGATTAACACAGTTTCATCAACCTATTATCCTTATTACTGAAGACTGAAGTACCTTCTGGCTATATACGAACCGCCACATTAGTCTTCAGTTTTCAGTAATAAGGATAGTAGGTTGATGAACCTGTGTTAATCCTGACAGATTTCCTTCCAGTGAAGGTCCAGCTTCTTTTTGAAAATGTTCACTGATGGTGCTGATACCACTTGTTCTGGTAAAGCGTTCCAGTCATTGACCACTCGATGAGAAAAACGGGACCCCACCTTTAGTTTATTAGATCGCGGTTTCAGAACCTTCTTGCTATGACCTCAGAGATTATTAGTGCTGGAGGGAGCATGAAGAGTGGTGTGAGGACTGGAAAAGAAAAGAACATAAGAAAAGGTTAGTCAAAAGTCCAGCAAGCCCACACAATGAACTTAAATATATCAAGGAAAGGGATAGACAGCAATCAGCAATAACACAAGTCTCAGATTAAGATAATCTTGGAGTCCAAAACAGAAGTAGACAATTCAATTCCCTACAAAGTGAAAGTTGGAAAATAATATTTTTTGGAAAGCTAACAACATTCAAACAACGAAGAACTCGCCTTTTACATCACCGAGACTTAGTAGCAAAAAAATTAAGCTTTCCGCCTACGAATCAAATAGTGCCAGTCTTCACTCTTCAGTATTCAAATGGTTCAAATGGTTGAGGACGGAATAGAAGAAGCTTTCGCTTAACGGGCTTCCGTGTCTGGTAGCAGTGGATCACCAATACCTCCAGGCAAGAACCTAGGTATATGAACGATAATAGAGGGAGAAAAAAAAGAATTTGGTAAATCATAATAATATGTTATCCTTAGTCCTTAAGAATAAGTCAAGTTTTCTCTTAAAGGACTCCTGGGAGGTCGCTTGGACTAGCTCAGTTGGCAGCGAATTCCAGCACTTGACAACTCTAACGGAGTAGAAGTTGTGTCTGCAGTCTGTTCTGCTATGTAGGGTCTCCAATTTCTGGGTGTTACCTCTGAGGTTAGTGTTATGACTAAGCTTAAGAAGGTGTTTAAGGGGATGACCAGAAGTATTAAGGATACTATAAGTCATAAGAAGATCACCTCTAAGACGCCTATACTCTAACGGGTAAAGGTTAAGTGATTTGAGGCGCTCTTCATAAGGTTTGAATTTGAGACCCCGAACTGATTTCGTGGCTCGACGTTGTATACGTTCCAGAGTGACCTTATCCTTTTGGAGGGAGGGAGGAAATACTATGTTTCCGTACTCTAAGTGGGGACGAATAAAACTGTTGAAGATTATGTGGAAGGTTCTACCGTCAAACTGGCCAAAAATGCGCTTCAATGTTACCAGTGCAAGGTTTGCTTGAGAGGCGTTTTTGTCACAGTTCGCGTATGATTTCAGGTCGTAGGGTACCAACACTCCTAAATCTTTTTCAACTTGGGAAACTTCTAGAGGGGAGTTACCTAAGTTATAACTATAGTCTGCAACATGTCTCAGATGGACTACCTTACACTTTGAAGTGTTGAAGGTAAGTCCGTTGTCGTCTGCCCAACATTGAAGTCGAGTCAGATCCTCCTGCAGAACTAGTATATCATTGTGAGTACGTATCTCTCTCCAAAGTTTCACATCATCAGCAAAAAGCAATAAATCAGATGAAACTTGTTGAGGAAGATCGTTAATATAAATCAAGAAGAGAAGAGGTCCTAGTATTGAACCCTGGGGGACCCCACTAGGACATTCCATAGCCTGAGAGAGAGTGAAGTTAACCCTGACCCTAAAGTGTCGGTTTTCTAGGTATGAAGTGATCCAGTCAATTAAAGGGGGTTTTATACCCAATCGTCCAAGCTTCTTGATAAGACATGCATGGTTGACCCTATCAAAAGCTTTTGAGAAGTCCAGGTAAATGACGTCAACCTTCCCCTTGCGATCAAGGACGGTTGTCCATCTATCCACCGCAGTCAGCAGGTTGGTCATACAAGAATGACCTTTTCTGAAACCATGCTGTTGAGGCGAGAAGAACTTTGAGGATGATAAGTGTTTTAGTATGCCGTCGAATACTAGGGATTCCATAATTTTTGAAGGTATGGAGAGAAGGGCCACTGGTCGGTAGCTTGAGGGTTCACTGCGTCGACCTCCTTTGAAAATTGGTGTGATGTGGGCCAGCTTCCATATTTCCGGTAGTTTGCCTCTGCTTAGCGAGTGTGCAAACATCACGCTAAGTGGTGTCGCCAGGATTGAAGCTGCTTCCCTCAATACGGCGGAATGAACCATGTCCGGACCAGGAGAAGTGTCTTTCTTTAGGTTCTGCAGTTTACGGAGCACCAAGTCAGCACTCAGGTCCACTTCGGAAAGTCCTGTACAGGTGCAGGTGAAGCTTTCGTCAGTATGGTTGATGTGGGTCAGTTGGAATGTCCGGGAGTAATGTTCAGCCAAAAGGTTAGCGGCATCACTGTCGTTGTTGGTCGGGCCATTAGGACCAAGCAGTTGGGAAACTCCAGTTTTGCCTTGTCGAAGAGAAGCTGCA